TTATTTATTTATTTATTTATTTATTTTTTTTTTTTTTTTGCAGATTCATACTTTATGCTAAAATAATTATTAAACACAGCGAAAAAGTATAATTTAGCATTTTCCCCCTCTGGTGAAAATTGAGGCTTTGTACCTTAATATTGTGCACATGTACTCTATACTCTGTTAAATTGGATTCAGTTTTATACGATTCATTTAAAAAAAATCTGCTTCCATTAACACATCTGAGTATGGCGTTATCAGGTTAAGATACAGTACTGTGCAAAAATCTCGAGCCAGCCCACTTTTTATATTTTATTTCAATCCAGCTTTTAAATTTTGGTTCAAATTGTTAGAGGAGGTCAAGAGAGCGGTACAACAGCGAGTGTCTGCAGTCATCTGTAAAACAAGCTGGGGACTATGTCGTGGTTTAGGGATGAATTTCAGGAAGGGGTGGGGAGAACTTGTTAAAATTGAAGGAATTATGAATGTCGAAATGTGCTGTCAGTCTTAGCCAGTCAGAAAGCATGTGATTGGCAACAGCTACATTTTTCAGCAGTGATCACAAATCCACTGCCAGTTCAGTAAAAACACAGATGGAAAGAAAACACAATGTAGCAGTCATGGATTAGCCTCCAAAGGCAGCCAATATCCAAAGAGGAGCTTTGCATGTCCTTCAAGAAGCCTGGAGAACTATTCCTGAAGACTACTTCAAGAAATGACTGTGTTGGAGAATATTGACGTTCACGCTCGTTAGATTGGTATAAACTCAGCTTTTGCTTCATATTTCTGTGTAAGTTTGCATGTTTTAGTAAATCACTGCACCTATTTCCCAGTTTTCCTTAGAAAATGTATAGAAGTGATGGGTGGATCAAGACTAGCTTGACGCTCACGGGAAATAGTCACATGTGGGTGAAACCTGAACGTATGGTGGATGATTCTGATCATGAATTCAGAACTCAAGTTAAACAGTAATTGTAACAGCATTATTAATTCACATTAGTAAGGCAGACTTAAAAGAAATCCAAGTTACAAAGCTTTGCAGTTCTTTGTTTTTTTTAAAAAAAAAATACAGTACACATGTGAAAAGGACAAAGGTCTAAGGTTAATCTCTAACACAAGAGCAAGTCTTAGACAGAACCTGACAGCAGAGCATGCTGTCCAACCTTGGATTAGTTGTAGTTATTGATATTTAACCCTTTACTTTGATTTTAAGTGTTTTAGTATTTGATATTTACTTTGTGTTTATAGTGTCAAGAAAGACCATAATGTTTAGGGCACATATGAGTGTGACAAGAATATGGCAGCTCATAGAAAAGAGGATGATGTCGTGCATCAGTGTGCGTGGGAAACTGCCCGGGCTTCAGCGTGCTGTTGGTAAGAATAATATTTGAGGGTCTCTCTTTTTTTTTTTTAAATATCAAAGATGATCAGTATCATTTTTTTTATCTGTACATGCCTGAAGAGTGTCTGTATCAGAAGTTCTCGGTTTAATTTGTATGTGTGTGTATATATATGTTTGTTTGTTTTTTAACAGGTGAAGTTCGGAGGAAGAGCAGCTTTAGACAAAGCCCTTTGCTGTCAGCCGCTCCTGTTCGTGCGCTCATAGATGAACAGATCAGCATTAAAGGGCGTTTCCTGTCTCAAAATTATCCTGTCACAGTATGCGCACAAATGCACAGTGAGGAGGGAGATCTGTGGGAGGTGTTTGCTCATTATACAACAAATGCGAGCAGGAGCATCAACTGTGAGTGAAATACTCTTAAGTGCTGTTGGGTGACATAGTAGACAGTTTCTGTAATATATAGATGTCCACATAAATAAAAGCAGCTGGCATGTGGGACATATAAGCAGGGCAATAATGTTAAGATGCTCACTGTGCCAGTGGCAGGGTTTGACTTTTTTATTGTATTTAAATACAAAATGGAGCAAAAAACAAACATGCTGAAATTAAATTGAACAAAGTGTTTGTCATTTTAATCTGCAAGCTGCAAGTAATTATTGATAAAAGTCACAGGTTAATATTTAATGTGTTTACTGTGGAGACATCCTGTGGCAGTCATGTTATATTAATTCACTTCACTTCAGTTCAATTTTATTTTATTTATATCGTGCACGCCATTTCTTATCAACAGTAGCTTCAAGGCACTTTATATTGTAGAAAGAAAATAATCAGACTCCGTTTTAACAAGGAGACAGTAAAGATTGTGTGAAGAGATATTAACCAGGCTTTTATGCAGGCAGTGTTTCATTTTATTTTTGTCTCTGTTCTTACCTGAATAGTGACCAGCGATCATTCAGTTGGAGGTTCTTATTTAGGCTAAAGGATTCTTTCATTCATTCTACATTTCTGGCTTCACTGACTGCTCCTTTCTCTGTGTAAATATAAATGCTGATCACAGGCTTAGGAAAAGAAACGTGGAGACACCATACATAGTGAACATCTCCTTACTGGAGGGCCACACTTCACCCAGTGAGGGGCAGAGCACTGACCTGGCAGCTGTAACCGTTGAGCGCTGGTACATGGCGCCAGGAGTGAGGAGAATAGAGATTCGTCAGAACAAAATTGTAGGAACATTATTCTTACCCCCTGGTGAGCGTTCACTGAAGTGGCATTTATTGGCAGTGCCTTAGTCAGCAGTCACTGAACTTCACATGCTGATTTCCTGCTGGCCCGGGCCCTTTTCCTGCTATGCTGGATCTGTGAGGAATGGGTGGAGGACAGTCGGAGTACCGCTCTGCACTTTTTGCCTCCAGGGGATTCGCGAGTCTTTCTGTTGCCTACATGGGGCACAAAGACTTACCTGGACCACCAGACATAATGAGTGTTGGCGATTTGTATTTCAAAGTAGGATAACTTTGTCCGAGTTTCAGTGTATAAGCACTGGATTTAACCTAACAGCCTTGTATTTGTTTGTAATGTTTTTGTCACTCTCTTAAAATGTTTTGTTTGGTCAGTCAGCCTTCCAGCTACTTCAAGATCACTGTCAGGTCGATGCAGACAGAATTGGGGTCATTGGCCTCTCCTTTGGAGTCTGTCTGACCCTTCGCATCGCCACTAGGATTGGTGTTAAAGTGCGTCCCAAACTCACCTGTTTTGAAATCTGCCGTATGATCATCACATTGTTATTTGCATATGAAAAATACAAATCTGATAGACAGGCAATTATGAATGACGTTAACATTCATTTGTTCCCCTTTCCAGCCATCATGTTTGATTTGTATTAACGGGCCAGTAGGAAGCCCGCTGTTAGATGAAGATGGCAAGACCAAAACGATTGAGAGGTAATGGCTGGTTACTTTAGATTCTACTCTGAGATGATGATGATGATTTATCCAGTCTATTTGAACCGTTCACTTCTGGTGTCACTTATAAGTACAGAGTACTTATAGATATTTCTTATTTTAATGTTGGTTTTGATTTCTGGACAGTGATGCTTTTTATTGTGATAGCATGGCCTCTGTACACCTCTCCAGTGGATTTTCAACAAAATCCCACATTAAGATGGGCAGTCTAACACATTTTAAACATAAGGACTGATTTTAATAGTTTACTTTGTGGCTCTCTTTTAATCTGGATAAATCATGGTGGTAACTTATGGTGAACCTGATTGGGGCAAGGTTATGTTAAGTTTCAGTGAAATTATGTGTTTACAGTATGCTTTAAGTGCAATATACAGCCCCAATTCCAAAACAGTTGGTGCAGTGATTTGCACATTTCATAAACTCCTACTTTAGTCGCAATGGAGCAAAGAAAATCTCTAAACTGAGAAAAATATGAAGTCTGTTTGAATTTGATAGCAGCGCTGTGTCTCAAATGTTAGGAAAGGGCTCATATTAGGAAAATTACTCTGCTACGTTTGTGGGGTATTTATTGACAATCATTTGAAATCAGTTAAACTAATTTGGCTTTGCTGTGGCAACAAACTAACAAGCACCCAACAAACTCTTTATTGGGTGTGTGGAGTGTGTCAGACCTGGGTAACATTTAATTACAGATGATATGTTGTGCTTAATTTCAAGACCTTTTTCCTTTTCCTTGCCATGCTTCTCTTTCCCAGTCATTCTGGTACAGAATAATCTTGACCCATAAAAGCCATCTGCTGATTGCACGCATTAACGGTGATACGACTGTATCTGTCGAGTGATCTTGACTTGGTTAGGTGTTGTGAAGTTCTTTTTTTTTAACCATGGAAATAATTCTGTGATGCACTTTAGCTGCAGGTTTTTGCTACCTCTCTCATAAATTTGTTTTGATTTTGCAACAGTTAATGAAATGCTCTCGTAAAACCTAATGAATTCTACTTGAAAGTCTTAACTTCAATCATATTGAGTCTTTAAACTCCAGTGTGGTGATGTACCTTACAAAAGTATATTGTGGTCCAAAAACATAATTGTAACCTGGACTTTTATCTAGTTCAGGGTCCTCCGTCTACTCCAGGGCTGACATAGTCAGTGTTGGGGAGTAACGGAATACATGTACCGCCGTTACGTATTTAAAATACAAAATATGAGTAACTGTATTCTGTTACAGTTACCGTTTAAAAAGGTGGTATTCAGAATACAGTTGCTTTGTTGAAATAAATGGATTACACTGCGGTACTTTCCTGTTTCATATTGTCGCGGGTCAGGACTGTTTGGGTTTTGTTTGACAGCTGTTCTGTTGTTCCAGGCGGCAGCGTTACGGTTGCCATGGTTACAGGGCGACGCTCTCTCTCTCTCTGCGACTGTGTGTTTCCTGGGTGAGAGAGCGCCTTTTCGTTGTTGTTGTTGTTGTGCTAAGCTAACAGGCAGAATGCTACAAGCATAGCTCTAAAGAATGTAGCATCATGGGCAGTGTAGTCCGTGTTGCAGGGAGAATGGACTGCCATACATGTTATGGGTCTGTGAGCGCGAGGAGGGAGAAAAAGGGGAGTGGAAAGGTACGAGTTGTCATCGAGGAAAAACGGGAGCTGGAAGCATGTAAATACAATAATAACCACTGCAGCCAAGAAGAGTGCCTGACAAGCCCAGTTGTAAGTAAGCTATTAAGACTCGACTGTACACCGTGTTCATGTTTTCCTCCAAAAACAATAAGTTCCGTTGGAGCAGCCTTTCAACGCCTCTCTCTGTCTCTCGCAAGAAAAGTTGACCCACACAACAAAGTAAAGCTATTTTTCGTCTACAAACCGACAGGGACCCCGCCATATTAGTCAGAGGTCCCTTTACTACAGTTCGGAGTCGCGACCTTCAGTAATAGTAATAAATCACACAGCAATAGTACATTCACGTTGTTGTAAAAAGCATGATAATATATTAAGTAATCCAAAGTATTCAGAATACGTTACTGTCATTAAGTAACGTAACGGAATACGTTACAGAATACATTTTGGGGCATGTATTCTGTATTCTGTAATGGAATACATTTTAAAAGTAACCTTCCCAACACTGGACATAGTAATTGCTGTTTTTAAGATTTTCACGAGTAGATGTTAACAAACAGTACCATCTCTGTCCTGTTCTGCTCTTTAAGTGACCAGAAACATTGGGAGCTCGATGATCGAGGCCGTGTGAGTTTCAGACATGTCTCTCTGCCGGATAATCTGCCCCCTGAGAACAAACAGAAGGTTCTTCTCTGCCCATCACACATGCATAGAGAAGCACATGTGTATAGAGCTCAGTAATCTCTGCTCTATATTATTGATTTTTTTTTTTTCTCTTATTTTCTTTTTGTAGGTAAAGAACATCACCTGTCCTCTCATGTACATAGTGGGTGAAGACGATCTGTGTGCTGCAAGCACAGAGAATGCAGATGTGGTAAATTAACTTATTTTACTTTAATTACAATTACAGATTACATTTTAAATGTTATGTTGTCCTGTATATATTATTTAGAGACTCTTGACGTCTACTGAAATGTATTAAAACACTCTAAGAATACAACAGTCATTTATAGTCACCTGAATGCAGTTTTGTATATTGTCTGTGTGGACTGACTGCACACTGTTTCATTGTTTACTCTGATCACTGGTCATCAGATTGAGGAGGCCCTGAGGTCTGCAAGTAAATCCCAGCTGTTTACCCGTTTGTCATATCCCGGTGCCGGTCACCTGATCGAGCCACACTACGCACCGTGTGCAAGAGTGTCTCTATGGAGAGCCAAACCAGAGAAATGTGAGCTTAAGTTTTCCTCTCATTGTATTTTATTAAGAATACAATATATAATGGTAAATAAATTTGCAGTTGGTTGTTTTTGTTTGTTTGTTTTTCTTCCCTGCAGTATTCACTCTGTGGGGAGGTCACCCCGCACCCCACACTGCTGCTCAAGAGGATTCCTGGAAGAGGATCCTAGAGTTTATGGAAACCCATCTGAGGCGGTGAATCTCCACATGGACAATAATCCATCGTTAACATGATTCTGAAATCCTGCATTTGTTTGAGCTGTGAAAGATGTCCTACGACTGGTGTGCAACTTGGGTTTTAAAAAATAAATAAATAAATAAAACTCATTTAAAAACTATTTGGGCCACAAGAGGTCGCTGTTTGGTTGCTATCAAAACAGCCAGTTCAGTATGAGTCAGTCTGCACCGTACAAAGGAAAAGAAAGCTTTCAGCAGTTTAGACCCACAGATGTTGGGCTGTCAGGTACAGCTGTGCCTATACTACTCAACAAGTAGTATAGGTGTTAATTTTCTTAGCTGGACTGCATTACATGTACACACGTCTGTTATTTGTCTTTCTAAAAGATGGAACCAGTCAGCTTGGCCTTTCCTCCTATTTCTCAGTTTGTGTATCCTCGTTTCCTTTCCTCACCTTTTTGACTCCTCACAAGGGGAGAGAGAGGAGTGTGTAATCAAAACAAAAAAAAAGACGTCCTTGCTTCAGAGGGCATGTTGTGAAGCAGCATCTGTTAAACATGTCTCAGTACTGCTGTAGTTTATCGATTCTGTCAGATGAGCATAAATGTTTAGTAATGACAGACAAATATGTGGAAGTATCATACGTTTATATATTTTTGTTTCTCAAATACATATTCCACACATGCTATATTAGAAACTCACCAGTCATTTTATTAGGTATACATTGGTGGTGTCCGTTTGGACCCTCTTTTGCCTTCATTACTACATTAATTCTTTGAAACAGATTCAACAAGGTGCTGGAAACATGCCTCAGAGATATTGATATGATAGTGCCACACAGTTGCTGCAGATTTGTTGGCTGCACATCTATGATGCAAATTTTGTGTTCCACCACATCCCAAAGGTGGATTGAGGTCGGGTGACTGTGGAGGCCTTTTGAGGACACTGAACTCATGTTCAAGATTCTAGTCTGAGACAATCTGCACTTTATGACATTTTGTTTTCCTCCTACAAGCAGCCATCAGGAGATGGGTACACAGCAGTCATAAAGGGATCGACAGGTTCGGCAACAATACACTGGTAAGCTGTAGTGTTTAAACCCAATTGGTACTAAATAGCCAAAACTGTGCCAAAAAATATCCCCCACACTATTTCACCACCACCAGCCTGAACTGCAGGATCCATAGATCTAAAAGTTCATCTTGCTTACATCACATTCGGACTCTACCGTCCAAATGTCACAGTTGAAATCTACTCTCATCAGATCAGGCAACATTTTTCAGTCTTCCATTGTGGCCTCAGCTGATAGGAGTAGTCGTCTGCTGCTGTAGTTTATCTGCTTCAAGGTTTGAGGTTTCATTTTGTGCCTTGAGAGATGCTATGCTTTGGTTGTAAAGAGGGAGTTACTGCTGCCTTCCTGTTAGCGCAAATCAATCTGGCCATTCTTCTCTGACAGAACTTAAAAGGTCAATGTCTACATATTTAAATCTGTTGAGATGCTGCCTTGTGATTGGCTTATTAGATATTTGTGTTAATGAGCAGCTGAATAGGTGTACCTAATAAAGTGACTGGCAAGTGTATTCAGCAAACATTTCCATACTAACAAAAAGTATCAAACTGCATGACTAATAAGAGTCTCCCAGTCTCACAAAAAACAAAACATACTTTCTTTAAAAGAGTAATTCATGTGCATGCAAACTATTTCTGTTGCTTTGGAATAAACAGTTCATTGCAAGCAGAGGTGACCATGGCGATGAGGGCAATGAACTCTTTGAAGTCGATCTCCAAATCTCCGTTCTGGTCAAGGTCAGCGAAGAGTTTATCCAGTGTGTCCTTCTCCTTGATTTTCTGTTTAGCAGGAAAATTGCATTAAAGTTCATCATTAGTAGTAAATGGACAGTATATTTTAATTTCACTCCACTGGCTACCTGTACATTTTAGGATTGTTTTTAAAATTCTCTTATTTGCTTTTAAATCTCTTAATGGCCTGCCCCCCCCCCCCTACCTCTCGGAGCTACTACAACCATATACACCTCCCCGTTCCCTTAGGTCCGCCAATCAGCAGCTCCTTAAGGTACCAAAAACTAAGTATAAATCTAAAGGTGATCGTGCTTTTGCTGTAGTTGCTCCAAAGTTGTGGAATGATCTACCCTTGCATGTTAGGCAGGCCTCTTCTCTCTCTAAATTTAAAAGTCTTCTTAAAACATATTTATTCGCTGAAGCCTTTGGCATTGATTAGAGGGGTTGACTCAATTTGTTTTGACATGTTTTAATTTATTTTAGTTTTTTAGTTATTTATTTTATCTTATCTCATTTTAATTTGCTTTTAGCATGTACAGCACTTTGTGAACTCTGGTTTTATGTTAAAGTGCTTTATAAATAAAGGTGGTATGGTATGGTATTTAATAACACTGATAAATCTGTAGCATCACCACTAACTCTACTAGGCTTAAATCTTAATTACACCGGAATAGAAGGAAAATTGTTAGTTATCTAATATATTTTTAATATCTCTGAGACTCAGCTGTGCAGCATGTCAATGCTCGAAAAGGAAGCAAATAAAAATCCACTATAGCCCCAAGCAACCTTAGTCAGTTGTACATGCTTTGCTCATATAAATTTTAAATTCATCAATAATGTTTGTGAAATTCTGTGCAGTTTTTTTCTTGTTTAAATACACACTGTGCTGCGTGCCAACAAATTGATGCATGCTTATTATTGTTGTTCTAATTATGTGTCATAAACACACCCGCTTTGCAGAAGATATCTTACCACTATGAAATTATTCATCTCATTGTTGATAAGTTCTTTAAGGTCTGCTTTCTTCAGATTGCACTTCTGACCCGAGTATTGGTGGAAAGTTTGGATAATAGTGATCATGCTGCTCTCCAGGTCTGACATAGCATCCTTTGTGGCCTGAGACAAACAATTTGAATCAGTTCCCGTTCTTTTGTCTCGCCACACAAAGAAGTTAATTGTCCATCTGTTGGATTTTCTTCATTAAATACACTATAAGCATGCATTAATAACAGCATATTTGTATCCTGATCTTGTAGGACAACATTTAAAGAAAAATCTGTTTTGCATAGGGAGCATTTTGTCTTTCTTACCTCCATCTGTAGAACCTCCTCTGTCTTCCAGGGATCTTCAGTGTGACTGAAGGCTTTTCGAGCTGCGACTTCTCTGCCTCGCTCAAATTACCTCGCACACTAAACTGTATTGATCAATCGTCTCACACTCACCATGTAATGCACAACTAATGGATCCTAGTGGTCAAAGCTTCAACCAAGAACCATTTGCCTGTAAAGTGTGTGTGCAGTAGTCTTTATGTGAGCAATATACTGTATGCATTTTTATTTATTTATTTCAGCACTTAAAAGCTTAACATGAGGCTTAAATGAAGGCTAACCTCAGATGAGCACATAATGGATACTTTGCTGAGAACCATGAGGTCACAAGTAACAGAAAGTCAAGAACTACAAGAGACTTTAAAAGTGTTAAATATCTGCAGATCTGCATCTCAGTGAGATTTCTTTGAGCTCAAATGAAGGCCAGTAATATCTGACAGTGTCTGATAAGAGTAAATAATTATTAGTCACCAAGCAAGATTTTGTCCTTATGCAAAAGAGAGAATTCAGTTGCTTTATGTGATGTAATCTAATTTACAGATGCAACTATTTGCATTTGTCTTAAGGCTCTAAAGCAGTTGTGAAAAACCGATCCCAGTGAACTGCCATACGTGTCACATGGAGATAGTACAGTAAGAGCTTCAGTTGTATTCTTAACTCAGTACTGTGTTTGGGGTCTTAACAGGAAGAGATGCTGGAATTGCCTGTGCCTTCCCATTAAAGGAGCTCTAAAGAGTTCAAATGGAAATCCATTTCATTACAGTAAGAATATGGCTATACGATACAGCATAAAAAAAAAAGCATGACAGAGAACTAATGTGCTCCACAAAGGCAGATGGGGTGGTGGGGGCGAGTTTCTTATAAATTAGACATGATTACTGGGGGCATTGCTGGGGCTTAATCAATAAATTGCATTATATTGTAGCGAATATGGTCTGGAAATGTACAAAATGCTTTTCCTATCAGTATATTAGTATAATTAGTATATCAGTATGATTTTCCACCCTTGTACCTCCTGGAAGAAAAAGCAAGGTCCAGATTATTCACATGTTGAATACACTCAGCGAATTAGTCAGTAATATAAAAATATTAATTTAAAACGGAAGCATTTTATGTTCATAAACAGTGTAGTTTCACTTCATTTCTAATGACCTGGATTCAACATAACCTCGTTTCACATTATTTAAGAAATATCATTAAAAAAAACAAGAACGTCCTCAAGAAGATGTTTAAATAAAGCTCCATTATCAATACCTATCACATGCAAATTGAGTACCGCTTTTTCAACAATACTTGTACAAAATACACAAAGGACAACTTACAGTGCTGTGAACAATTCTTGAGTCATTGCTCATTTCTTTATATTTTGCTTCCACGGAGCAGTTTTTTTAAATTGGTCTTGAGCAATAATTCTTCAAGTTTTCTGGAGGCCTTTCGAAGTCTTTGCACGCTGGCTGATTTTTCCGACCACTGTCAGAGGACTCTTTGTTTTGTTTTGTTTTTTCTTAAGCCACTTAACCCTCACTTATGTGTCATTCCAGAATAAAAAAGACAAAAATCAAGGGATGAAACGAAAGAATCAGTTTTAAATTGTAAAAATTGACCCGGTTTGAGGTGTTGATTTCAGATTTTTGTTTTTTAGTTTTACTCGTATTTATTTGTGGCTTGTATTGCATTGATACTTTTATTTTGTATTGGAATTTGAAATCGATTTATTATACATTATTTATTTATTTTCATTTTATTTCTTTGTTCAGCACTTGGTCAGAGCGTAGGTTGCTCATCCATCGTATTTTTGATTTATACAGTAATACATTTTCTTTGTAGAACTCTGGTTTGCGGTTTTGACATGCATTTATGATTCTCGAAATATGATCTCGAGTTTTACATTTGCACTTGAACGCACCGCTCCCCCCCCAACTTGTTGTCCGCTCCTTGAAAACCCTACACGCCGTGCGTCACGTAGCTGCGCGCATGTCTGAACC